TGGTTGTCGCAAAGTATACAAAATTGCTAGCACAAGTTTTGATCAACATGGAATATCCTCAAGAAAATAGCAAAGCCATTCAGCTACTTCGGTAGCTTTATCTAAATCGCTGAAATCTGATTCCATCTTTGATCTCGAGATACACGTTTGTTTGGCAGATTTCCAAGACACGGCTGCCGCTTCGAGGGTAAACACATAACCACTAGTGGATTTGGCATCTTTTATATCAGATATCCAATTTTGCGTCACTATACCCTTCTAGTACCGCTGGGTATCTGGTATAATGCAGCCCATAATCCAGGGTGTAACGGATATACCCCAACACCCGCATAATGCCCTTCCAATGAGTAGCATTAGGATTACTCGTGTATCTACTCAGCCTACTAACAGCGTAGGCGATATCCGGCCTTGTACAACTCATCAGATACATCAAACTCCCAATGAGCCGAGAATATTCTAGTTGAGAGACACTCTCACCATTATTCTTGGTCAAATATAGACTTAAGTCTACCGGTGTCCTAAACATACTTGTATCTGACTTTCCAAATTTCTCAAGTATCTTATTAACATAATGAGCTTGAGAAAGTACAATACCACCAGATGTTTTGGTGATCTTAACACCCAGAATGACATCTGCAAGGCCCATATTCTTCATGTCAAACTTAGAGTTTAACAATCTTTTGGTAGCTTTAATCATTTCATCATTGCTACCAACAATGAGTATGTCATCAACGTATAGACACAAAATGACATAACCTTTGTCAGTGTCTTTAACATATACGCACTTATCACACTCATTGATTCGAAACCCATTTGACAACATAGCATTGTCAAACTTCTCATGCCATTGTTTGGGAGCTTGCTTCAAACCATACAATGACTTGACAAGCTTATAGACTTTCTTACTTTTCCTGGAGCTGAAAACCCCTCGGGTTGCTCTATGTAGATTTCTTCATCTAAATCTCCATTTAAGAAAGCTGTCTTTACATCCATCTGATGTATTTCTAAATCACGTAAAGCTGCTATTGCAATCACCATGCGAATGGATGTAATCCTTGTCATTGGTGAATTCGTATTCTCGCTGCTTGTATCCTTTGATAACTAGTCGAGCTTTATATTTGTCAATTGACCCATCTGCTTTCATCTTTCTTCGAAAGATCCACTTACTCCTCAAGGCCTTACTGTCTGGGGGTAGATCAACCAACTCCCAAGTATAGTTCTGTAAGATGGAGTCAATCTCACTTTTAATTATTTCTTTCCATAAAGGACTTTCAGGTGAAATCACAGCTTCATGGAGCGTTCGAGGTTCTCCCTCTAACATATAAGTCAAGAAGTCTGGACCAAAAGACTTTGTGGTTCTAGCCCTTTTACTCCTTCTTGGCTCATCCTCCTCTACGGCTGGTACATCTTCTCTCAAAAACCTCGCAAGGCTTAGATTAGTCAAATAAAACAGCATCTTCTGCTGTCATCTCTTGAAATTCACTCCCGTGAACTTCTCCGGGCGCTCGTGATGATTGAGCGGTCCTCCCAGAACAGCCGGAGTAACAACAAGAGGATTGACCACAGAGGTCACAGCAAGGGTTGGCAAGCCAGTCGCCCCGGGGTTCGGATCCCCACCAACATTAGCAGCAGCAGTAGCAGCATCAGAGACAGTTGCCATTTCTGAAAAATTACAACAGAATTTTCGCTATTCTGTATTTCTAGAAATCAAACTTAACACTAGAAAATTTCACAATTGGAAATTTAATTCAAAACTAGTCTCACCACGCAACCTAGAATCGAATATGGTCAAAAAAATTTCCAGGAAGACTGGAGGCATCACACCGGTCCCACTTAAAACCCAGTAAACCTTAGACAAAACTTTCAAGAGCATGTTAACTCATAGTCAGAATTAAATTTTCCAAGGGATGAACTAGGTTAAACACACCAAGTTCCAAACTGTACAAGCAATTACAACAAAATTACTACAATAATTACAAGCAAATAAAACGTGCTTTACATATTGGTGAATAACCACAAATGAACACCCAAGCAAACAATTGCTTCAAATATTTAGTCCAAATTAATCATTTTTCCCATTTCCATAGGTATTCCTGCAATAAAGAGTTAGCAGCAAAATACAACAAAACCTCCCTCAGCTTTTCTTTGCTTTTGGCAAAGTAGTGATTGAACTGTAAGTAACCAACCCTACTCCCTCCGTCCCAAATTAATGGTCCCTTTTGGGGAATCCAACTTTTTTTGGTAGTACAATTATTGTACTTTTAAAAAGTTGGTTTTCCAAAATTACCCTTTGATAGTATACCTTTTTGGGAATATCAATGTCATAATTGTACTTTTTATATTATTTATGAATTTAAAAGAAGGACAAAATGGGAAATTTATATTATTTTTGTACTTGATTTTTGAAGAGGGACAAATACTTTAGGACAATGAAAAATGGAATAAGGGACTAATATTATGGGACGGAGGGAGTAATAAATAACTGTAAGTAAAGATTAAAACCAACCCTTAAATTACACATCTAGAATTTAAACTAAAAAAAATTGTAAAAAATTAATTACATAATAAACATGTAATTAACTATATAAGTTACAGACCTAAATTAAATATAATTAAATCATATTTTAAATTGGTAAAGGTTACATATGAACTTATGGTACACTAAACATGTAATTAATTGAGGCAAGTTACAAACATTTTATAACTCCTAAATACTTAAATCACATTACTAGGTAAGAATTGCAAATGACATGACTAACATGCAAATAATTCTAGAGAAATTAACATGAATTTAAATATAGGCAAGTTATAAACTTTACAACTCCACACCTAAATTAAAGATTAATAGGTACAAGTTACATGAAAATTTACTACCTAATAAATATGTTAGAAATGTAAATTACACTAAAAATTAAACCCGAATGAACATGTAATTTATATTGTGAACTAGAAGCATGTGAACTAGAAGCATGTGAATCTAGAAATACAAGGCATGAACCGGTACACCATAAATTAATAAATTAATTAGAAAATACGGTGAATTAACGTTGCACCAATGGAACTCTTCTTCCCTATTGATAACAGTGGCCTATTCCGTGCCATGGGAAGACCAAACAGTAGCATACACAAAATGGCAAAATCAAAAGCTTAACCCTGTGTACATGCATCTAATAAACCAATTAACTCGCTAGTACTACCAGTGGCCAATTACATGCAAAATTATTACACACACCTATGAATCTATTAATCTAATTCTATGATAAACATTGAATCTATTTTAAGCTTGTTTGGAAAAATTACTCACATTACATAATTTCATATTGTATATCGCAAAATTATGAGAGGAACAAAACAAACCTTCAATCCCAGGAAAAATAACATGCTGAATAAAATATAGATAAAATATAAAATGGTTAAAGGAAGCAAACCAAAGCCTGTGTGATACCACAGTCTCCTTAAAATAGATTCGCCGCCTCACCATTGGGTGCTGGAGGTACGTCGGCGTTTACTTTCCAGGATACGACGGTTTTTACCAGTTACAATAGAAGCACCTTCTGATTAGCATAGTAAACGGACAACGGCTGCACTCTCTCTCAGGAAGAAATTATAGGAGAAGTAGACTGACAATGTATGGATGTCAAGGAAAAATTCTATAACTCTTTCCAAGGAATAGGACCTCCTTTTATACACCATAGGGAAGAGGGGAAGAGCCTCTAACCATAAGGTTGGCAACTAATGCTAGCAAAACTGCCCAATAAATTTTGTAAAACTGATGAGCCTTAAATGTGTGAGTTATATATACATTTATGAGACAATTTCTTATTCAATCATTTTTCTCTAACAATTTGCATATGAGTACCCTCTCAATCTAAATTTCTCTCTCAATGACAATCACGTTTTCATTTGAAATGGTCCACCATCAACTACTCAACATTATTGAAATGGCAATGTACAACACCACACACATACTCACCCACCCACCCACAAACACAAAGATAAATAAACAAACTTGTGCAAAAAACAACGTTGGAAACTATAATAAATGTGAATTAACAAATGGTTAAACAAACCAAAGAAAAGTAAAGAAAAGATTCGTGTACATACACACAACGTCATAAAATAACAGAGTACACTTCAAGTCTACGCAAAACAACAAAGGAAAGTGCGAGGAAAGAGAGGGGGTGTTCATTGTTCAATGCCAATTGTCAAAAGACAGTCCTGTCCTTGCCCTCCTATTCTTTTTTAACCCCTACATCCACTACTAAAACGTGCAGTTACAACAGTCCCCTTCTGGCTAAAAGACGTTCAACTATTGTGGGTAATAAAGTAAAATCAAAGTCAATAAAGCTTGGAATAGTCTTCTCCACATTTTTGCATATTTCTCTGTGTCTTCTTCTTCTCCTTCTTTTTCTAATCTGAATTACTCCCTCTGTCCGGATGTGTTCTGGCCCGAAGATGCGTAGTCATTCGGACATCCATAAGGCGACACGAAAGTTAGCCTGTAAACAATTCAAAAGCGTGTGATCTTTTAGTACGTTTAAGACAGCAAATTATATGACAATTCCTGAGAACAAAAATAATTATGATTAGAATAGTAAACTTGTGAATATGCTTTATATGATATGATAGTATCTTGTAGTTGATTTGATTGGGCTGCCTAACCCATTATTCACTAGAAGTTTGTTGAGATTTGTGTTTTCCATTTAGGCCTAAGAAACATGATGTTCGGTAACTTCACACGTCAATGAAAATTCTCCGCTAGCTCAATCCACTGATTACACTCAAATACGTAATGAAAATTTGTTCAATTATTTTCAACTTTTGATTAGGCTAAGCCTACTTTAAAAAATAAAACTTGTAACAAAAATTCTAGCCAATGAAACACCACCTATTTCTTTCAATGCCTTTCAATTTAATTATCTGCCAGAAATTGAGCAGTACATGAATAACTCTTAATATCATCGCTTGAGTGGCGAGAGAAATATTGTCAAGCCTAATATTTTTCTTTATAGCATTTTTCAAATAAGAACCAATTGCAAGCGCCTGATGACAAGGGGCAACTCCTTTCAAGATTTCATCCTCTCTATGTCTCTCAAGACTCCATTTCGTGAGCCCTATGGAACTCATGACGGTAATCCAAACCATTCATCTTATAGGACTCGAAGAGAAAAATACATATGTAAAAAATTAATTTGATTAGATATCTATAGACATCCTAATTTATACATTGTGTTTGGTTCATGGATTTGGAAAATAATTTGAAAAAAGAAAGGAAAAGGTGTGTGAAATAAATATGAAATCTAATTATATTTTATTCACATTTCACTATTACTTTCTCTTTTCTTTTCAAAAATCTCATCAAATCCATAAACCAAACACCATGGTGGGAAACCTTCTGACATAAAACTTCATCCAACTAATCTATATCATGTATACTCAAAACCTTAACCTTTATCATTGTGGGGATCAATTTTATGATTTATCCAACCGACACTAACACTGCATAGCATGGCTTATTTAAAAGGAGTCGGATCCTAATAATAAGAGAAAATTACATATCAGACTATTTTTATAAAAATAATTATAGATTAATGAAAAAATTATTAATTTTAATAATCAAAATCATAAATTTTTTAATAATTTTGTAATTTTTTATTTTTTTTGACATTGCACTGGATTGGATTGTATTTTTCCCTAATAATAACTAGTAACCTGAAAGTATTATGCAATAATAGTACAAAGGACAATGTTTTTCCGTTCAATAATAAAATCAAGGCGAGAAGAATTTTACTTCTTATTTGTCCAAAATTTGTAAATTTGGAGCATACCTCTCTTTGCGCTTCTCCATAAACCTCTGCAGCGACTTTCTCCGGGCGATTGGTAGATCTGCACCCCCAAAAAATAAAAAATTAATACTTATAAAGCATGATTTGCCACTTTCTAATATTCATATCTACATATTGAAGAAAAATTAACGCAAAAAAAGAAAGAAAACAAAGAAGAAGAAGAAGAAGAAGAAGAAGAAGAAGAAGAAGAAGAAGAAGAGAGGCTAAATTCGACATTAAACTGACCTCCGTTAATGGTATCCAGTATCTGAGTCTTATCGGTTGAAGAGAGTGCAAGTTTGGGATCTGCTGCTGATTCAACAGTTTTGGAGACTTGTTTCTCAGCAAGTTTGAAGATATTCTCTGCCTGAATGAATCATCATTAACCGCTTCAATCAATTAAACGACTTCAAAATTAATAAAAGAAGAAAACAGAGAGTAAAGAATTAATGTACAGGAAGGAAGGAATGAATATTGACGAACCTTGTGCCTCGGAACATCGAAAACGGTGACGGAACCGTTGTAGAAAATCGTCATGGGGGTCGTTTCAGGAGTTGGTTCAGAACCAGAGGCATTGCTCCTACAAAACCAGATCATATCATGAATGACATCATCATACACAGATATATATATATATATATATATAGAGAGAGAGAGAGAGAGAGAGAGAGAGGCAAGAAGAAGCAGTAATTGAAAGTGTTGGGAGTACCCGAAGGCAGGAGAATAGAGAGGCAAAGCAGGAGGGAAGACCAGAGTGTCTTCATGTTGGGGAGTGGAGGGAACCGAAAACGAAGACTTGGAGGACAAGAACAAGTTGCAATTTTCGGAGGATTTGGCAACATTATTGTAGGTGTGATCGACAGAGCCAGATGCGATCACGGTCTTCAGGAGCTGGGGATTCAGCTTCGAAATCACACTTTGAATATCTGCATAAATGAATGAATATACCTATAATCATGAGATACATTACATATACACAGGACGACGCATATAAATTTCAAGAACAAACAACAAACAATTAAAAAAAAAAAAAAAAAACCTCGAAAGCTTCTTCGGCGATCAATGAACTTCTTCGAGGAGCTCTCTTTCTCCATCCGGAAGAAATCGAGCTCTACGGCCGATCTCGACATTGCAAGTTTTTTCGATTTTTTGGGGAGGTGTTTGAACTCTGTTCTGTTGTGTATGGTGTTGTTATGCTTTGGGGCTTTCAAGTCTTTAAATGGAGTTGAATATAAATGCTATTCGAGAGGCAAAGAGGAGGAAGCGAGGGGATGTAAAGAGAGAGAGAGAGAGAGAGAGAGAAACGCACGAGAAAAATGAGAGCAATAGATAGAGAGGTAATAGTGGTTGTGGGGGTGGGATCTTGATTATGATAATACTAATTAATTATGTCACGTATTTCACGAGATAGACTCTCCACACTTCAAAGTTAAAGTCCGGAGGGAGCAGGCGGGCAGGGATGGAAGGAAGCATCTAGGATTGGACTTTGCAAATCTCTGGGCCCTCCTGTTGGACACAGTCGGTAGTCTCCACTGCTCACAAAGTCCTCATGAAAATTATTATTTTATAGTTTTTTCAAAAATTATTGGGTTGTTGGTAACTTGGGAGGATAATAATAATAGTGATAGAGAGGGAGGGTATTTTTGAGATGAGCACTCCTCCGTATCTTATCTTTTCATATTGAGATTCCTGTCAGTAATTTAAATTATTTATCTTACAGTTTTTTTTTTAAAAAAAAAGGTTATCCATTAAAAAAAATAATTTTATCTGATAACTATAAATATAAACTTTTTTTAGTTGATTTTTTGAAGTTAAGAATTTTTTAACTTGGAACTAAAAAGTTCATTTGATAATTTTTTTTGACTTTTGTGAAGAAAAAAAATAAAATGATTATAGTTTGAATATGATATTTTATCTTATTAGCTTATTTCAACTAGGATAGCCAAACAAAACCTTTGCATAGTTTAAGTTTACAATCATATTTACCGTTCATTTTATAGAATAAAATATAATTTGTTCATATGTTATAATTAAACGCCTGATAAATTTAATTGTTTACATAAAAAATAATTGAGACATTTATTCATAAATCTCTCTTTACCTACTTATGTTCCACTTAATTCAAATTATTTTATTATATTTCAGTAAGTCTTATAAGTGACATAGTTACCAAAATACCCTTAATAATAATAGGATAAAACGTGCATTAATATTCATATTAACAATGTGAATGTTCTATAATATGAACATTTACACTGCCAAATTTATTTAATGTGAATGTTCACATCATGAAATATTTATGCTATCAAATTTATTTATTTATTTTTATTTTATAAAATTACATATTCAAGTGAAATTTTATTTGATAAATTTCATTAATTAGGCTTTAAATATATATATTTCATATAAAAAGTACAAAAAAAAGTCTAAATAAGTGCACACTAAGTTGTAAGATTTAAAAAAATATTTTTAAAGGTAAAATTATTCATAAAATATATTAAATAGAAGAATTAAAATTTACTGAACTAAATATTTAAATAATATAATTTATTAAAATATAAGAATATGTTATGAACTAATTGAATACAAGTACTTAAAACATAATTTTCTAATAAATCTTTTATAATTTTTATTTATTTATTATGAGACCTAACAATTAAGTAGTTTAGGTAACTTACAAATACGTCTTCCAAAATTTGATTAAAGTATGAATCGTCCTATGTAGTTTTAAAAATTACATTTCACTCTTAAAGTTTCTAATTTTATAACAAATTGTCCATTTTATTAATAAATTATCAAATCAATTAATAATCTTTAATAATGTTATAAATATGTTTCAATTAATAATTTAAGTAATTTTATTATCGTATAGAAAAGTAATTATAAATTTTATTGTTTTAATTAATTTTATAAAATAAAAAATTCTAATAAAAAGATATTTATAATTATTCAATCATAAAAAATAATTTATATTTTAAACAAGTTTACAAGTCTATTTAGCCTCTGTTTGGGAAGTGGGTTGACTTTTTGACTTTTTAAATTTTTTAGCCTAGGCTATTTTAGCTTGGTTTGGGAAGGACTTTTTGGCTTTTTGACTTTTTTAGCTTTTTTTGTGAGAGAGGATTGTAATGATTATGGGTTGGATTTAATATTTTATTTTTTGTACCTAAAATAACCTATTTTATTTTTTATGACTATTTTAACCAAAAAAATCTGACTTTTTTCTTCCCAAACGAAGCCTTATAAATTTTTTTTTTTAAAAAAAAAAATTGATGGAATAGAGGGAAGGCTCATCCCGTATGTTTTCCGTGTTAGGATGGGATTGGTAGTCTGCCAAATTGATTGGGTGATGAGTGGGACCGACAGGTTGGTACCGTCTTCAAAACTCATTCAGATCAAAATACTCGTGATCGAATTTGGTGCTGAAAATACTCTGCTCACGTGTTTCAAAATACCAATATGTCATTATCATTATCATATTAATTTTTAATTAAAAAAAAAACTATTTATAAAGTATTACGAACAACAAAAGTGACGGTGACGGCAAAAGTCAATCACGGTTTAGCCCGACACAGTCAAACCACAGAGTCATTCTCATTATCTATAGTATTATTATATTATTTGGGGATTAAGAAAGTGTTTAGTATAATTTAAATAAGTATATATATATTTTTATTTTTTATGAAAAAATAATAAATAAATAAAGAAATGATATGATTTAAAAAAAATAAAAATAATAAAGTATAAATATACTCTTGAGATTTATTTAAAGTACAGATTGCCTGTGTGGTTTCGAAGATTACAAATATTTCCTTGTCATAATTTTTTATTTAACAGAATTAACTAAAAAAATAAAATTCATAATTTGCTCTCTACTACAATAATAAAGTTACCTAAATTATTAATTGAAATATATTTCTAATATCATTAAAAACTGTTAATCGACTTCATGATTTATTAATAAAAGGGGCAATTTGTTATGAAATTGAAACCTCAAGGGATGAAATGTAATTTCTAAAATTACAGGTAGTGATTCGAATTTTAATCAAACTTTAGAGATGTTGTTTATAATTTACCCAAATAAAAAAAATACATTTTTGTAGGGATACTAGATCGAGTCCGGATCCTCTCCAGCCAAACCCTCCGACCCTTCCTCCGGCCAAGGGCCAGGATTTTGCCACGTCATCAGGGCTAGATCCTACGGCTTAGATGAAGTTTGGTTTTAAAAAATAAAAAATTTGAATTTCTTTTCATTCAACACAGAGGCAAAGCTTTAGGCTCCGTTTGATAGAGCTTTGTAACTATGATTTGAGAATATGAGTTGTATTTTGAGTTTGTGTGTTTTAGAATTATGATTTGAGTGTAGAAAATTTGTTTGGTTATGATTTTTGAATAAAGTGTTGAATTGAGTGTGGAATTGAGTTACATAAGCATACTCCTTGATTTTAAATAGTCAGCAAATGTTAGGCTCCGTTTGATAGAGCTTTGTAACTATGATTTGAGAATATGAGTTGTATTTTGAGTTTGTGTGTTTTAGAATTATGATTTGAGTGTAGAAAATTTGTTTGGTTATGATTTTTGAATAAAGTGTTGAATTGAGTGTGGAATTGAGTGTTGAAAGTTTGATTTGACATGTGAAGTAAGAAAATTTGTTTGGTTATGAGTTTTAAAAAGAGTTTTCAAAACTTAATTCAAATTGTTATAACTCATAACAAAACACATTACTTTCACATTATTGAAAATTTTGATCAACACTCATAACCAAACTCTTTTTAAAATTCAATTAAAAAAATTTATTATTAACAAAAAATAACATTAATCAATTTTTTAATTGAAAATACTACAAAGGAAATAATTTTTTTTCAAAATAAATATTCAAAAAATTTAAATCATAAATATTTAAATAATTTAAATAATCTAAAAAATTTAATAAGTAAAAAATTAAAATAAATATTCAAAAATTTTAAATCGTAAAAATTTAAATAATTTAAATATTCAAAAAATTAAAATAATTTAAAATTTTAATATTTTAAATTTAAAAACAACTCTATACTAAAATCGTAACCAAACACATAAAACAAAACTCAATTACAAAATTATTTTTAAAACTCATAACCAAACACATAACTCGAAACTCCATACTACTTTCACACCTCTACACTCAAATCGTAACCAAATATATAACAAAAAAAAAAATAAAATATTTAAAAATATTTTTATAAAATAGAGTTTGAATTTATTTTTATAAAATATTTTAAAATTTTAAAAATGAGAATCGTAATATTTTGAAATTAAAATATTTAAAAATATTCAAAAAAATTAAAAAATTAAAAAAAGCATAACATATTTAAATATTAAAATATTAAAATATTTAAAAATTAAAATATTGATTTGAATTGAGTTTTGAAAAGAGTTTTGAATTATGTGTTTGGTTATGAGTTTTGAAAAGTAATGATTATATTTTGAATTGAATTTTAAAAAATAAATATAAAATTATAATTTAAAAGTTCAAAATAAATATCACAGTCAAATTAATACATGAAATTATAATTTGAGGGCTTACTAATCTTGGCCGTAATTTTTCCTAAATTTTGCGGCTGAGCGGTAAATAACCACGTCCCTAATTATTGCGTTGACGCGGGTACGACTTGATTGCAGCGTTTTCCATGAAGTTTCTCGCTGTCATTTTGGTGCAAATTTTATTTTTTTATTATTATTATTTTTTGTCATTTCTAATATGTTAGTGATGATTTTTTAATGGTCTAAATCATTGTGCTAATCATAACATACATAGCCTGTGTTTGGCAAATGGGTTTGCAGGCTTTTTTGGCTATTTTAGTCACAAAAAATAAAATAGGTTATTTTAGCCATAACAAACAAAACATCACATCCAACCCATAATCATTACATTCTTCTCTCACAAAAAAAAAAAGTCAAAAAAGCCAAAAAGCCAACAAGTCCTTCCCAAACCAAACTTTTTAGCCTATTTTACATAAAATTTGACAAGATTGATATGATAATATTATTATTATAAATAAATTCATTTTTAATAGTATTTTATTTTGAAATAAAATATTCTCAATGAGACACATCATTATATATGAAAATTATGTATTAATTTTTTATTTGTATAACATTACTCATTGTTTAATTATCAATTTCTAGATGAACCCATCAACCATAAATTGTTGGACCCATCAAACTTGTAATTCAACAATATGGGACTCAGCAAAAAATAAATAAATAAATAAATAAATAATTTCATAATTTTTAGTTTGGATAAATTAAACTTACTTTCCTTAAGGTTTGAAAATAAAAATTAGTCTTACACTTTTGATATAATTATATTGGTTTGTTTTAAGATTTTAATTTACATAACAGTTAGACATTTTGCATTAGATTAGGTAGTACATATTCAAAAAAATATTTAAAATTTAAATTAGGTAGATCAAATTCATCCTAAATATATTTCACACCTCATGACATTTAAAGCTATATTGTACATTTAGATTTGAGTATTTTTT